TGCTACCCAAAAATGGGAGTGCTGGCAAACAGTATGTAGTGAATGGGCTGCTCAGTGTTTCTCATGGCAAGAAAAGGCCTGTTCCTGTCTTGAAGCCTTCTGTCTCATCTAAAATAGGGACAAGAGATTGAATGTTTGGTTTTGCCACAAACCACACCTAATTTAGGGCTGTTCTTCCACTGGCACAGAGACAAGTAGGTCAGTCCCCTCTCCCTAGCCCCCAAAGATGCTGAGGAAAGCAAAGAATGCTGTAACCAAAACAAAACAACCAAAACCAAAACATGCAAAAAGGCACAGAAGCACGTTTGGTACAGTAGGGACCCTGAAAGCTTGCAAGAAAGCATGGTGACATAAACCACATCCCCACATGAAAGCCTCAGACTCTGGGAAGAGAAAAGGAAGAAAAATCAGAAATCCACTAGCATATGGGTTTATGAAGAACTGACAAACTTTTAAAAAGTCTGCACCACCCACTGACATGCTGACTCAAAATAAATGAACAGAACCCACAGCTTTATATTTTGATCAGGTACAGATGTGCTATAAACACAACTGAAGAAACTGAAGTCATTACCAAGTGTGTGACTTGCTTAAAATGAATAATCTGCCATGATAGAGCAGAGCCTTCACATTTCCATGATAGTAAGAGAGCATCAGTCTACTCTACCAGAAGGGGCAGGGAAGCAACCTTCCACTTGGCCCAGGTGTTAATACTACAACTTCCACTGTCCCACTGCCCATAAACTATTGGACCATAATTCCTACAGTCCAAACTATCTGAAAAGTTGAGGCAGAGTGCCACATTGAGGACAGCTGATGTAGAGGGATTGAGAGGCTTTGTTGCTCTGCTTTCCTTCAACTGATCAGCATATGGGAATAGGCTTCTAGTAGTTTTTTAGACCTTGGGATAATTCTAGAATGGGTCAGGAAAGACATGGACTATACCAAAATAGGGGAGAAGCCTGATAGCAGTATTAGATTGTGAATTCTAATTGAGAAGCAGTAAGCATGGCACACAGTGAAACACAAACTTGGTTTTCTCTTCTCCATTTCTTCCTGGAGTCTCTAAAGTCATCTCTCATTTTTTATGCTTCCAGAAGAGTCTGCTCTCTACTCTTTCCCAAAAGCTTCACTTGCCCTGCTAAGCTGAAATGTAGATATATGGGCCTCAAGCTCCTGTGCCTTCTCCTCCAATAGAGCAACCAATCTGCACTTGTTGCATGCAAAGCATAGTAGATCCTTTGGCAAAAAAGAAAAGAAAAAAGAAACATGACATAAATGTTGCCGGTCAATGCAACAACTCTGTCACCATCCATGTTCATCAGCCTGTATACACAGCAACACAGCTGTCCAGGCTTGCACACACAAAGTGTCCACAAAAATGCCTACTTTTTTCTTCCTGTTTGCCGAGCTCCAAAGACTGAGGTAGCAGCCATATAGCGTTAGTGGCTCCTAGTTCCTTCCATAATCAAGTTTGTGGCTCAGCAAAGGCCTTGTCCCACTAGACCATGTACTCAGGGAAAATACATGGACAAAACAAACAAAAGCACACACACAACCATGCAAACAGTGCAGGGAAACAACTGTCCCCAAAACACAAGTTCACCTTTTTTCTCTCTTCAGAAACTGAGGAGATAAAAGATGATAATGCTTGGCAAAACAGGAGGCAGTTGGAAAAGAAAAAAGACTGTATTTCATAGAGTCATAGAGTTGGAAGAGACCACAAGGGCAATCCAGTCCAACCCCATTCTGACATGCAGGAACTCATAATCAAAACACTCCCAACAGATGGCCATCCAGTCTCTGTTTAAAAACCTCCAAAGGAGGAGGCTCCACCTTCTCAAGCAAGTGTATTCCACTGTCAAACAGCTCTTACTGTCATTTTCTATTGGATAGACTCAATCAAAATAGTGACCATGAAGGTTCTACATAAATTCAACCTAGACAATGAGGAAATCAAAATAGTTAAAAGATTTCCCATACCTTGGATCAAACATTGATCAAAACAGAGACTGCAGTCAAGAAATAAGAAGAAGACTAGGAATGGGAAGGATAGCATTGAAAGAACTAGATAAGAGGAAAGACTGAGCACTAAAGAGGAAAGACGGAGCACCAGAAGAATTGTCCAATCCATTGTATTCCCCATCACCATGTAAAGATGTGCGGGCTGGACAGTGAAGGAAATGGATAAAAATAAAATAAACTCATTTGAGATGTGCTGGAAAAAAACACTGATACCATAGACAGCCAAAAAGACAAACAAATGGGTCCTTGAACAGATCAAGCCTGAGCTTTCCCTGGAGGCCAAATGTTCAAGCTGAGACTGTTGTACTTTGGCCATAGCATAAGAAGGCATGGCTTATTAGAAAAGACAATAATGCTAGACAAGGTAGATGGAAATGGAAAGAGAGCAAGACCACAGATCAGATGGCAAGATTGAATTAGAAAGCCTGTATCTATAAGATCTGAATATATGTATCTAAGGAATGCATATTCCATATAATATGTGACATGTTTACTCCTTTTGCTCAGTTTGTGAAAATCCTTCCAGCTTCACAAAAGATTTGCCATTTAGGAAAAGAGGTTTCTGTTTTAAAACACACATATATCTTAGCACATATAACCATATGGATAATGTCTTGGTTCCCAGATACACGTAAGGCAGCCTCAGCCCAAGTATTTCCAATTTGAATGAAAAAGGCAATGCAGAAGTAAATTGTTTAACTATTGTTCCTTTTTTCAGTAAAAAGGTACAACTACATTATATTATGACTGTAACTTACTGAGAGATATCTTCAATTTTTTGTAATTGTAACTTTTCAGCTATTTTTGCAATTGGAGATGGAAATGTTGGTGGTAATCAGATTTTGAACAAATTATTTTTAGGGGCTACAATTCCAGCAGTCATTCTATCTGGGGCATTGTGGGAGTTGTACAGGTCCATGTTCTGCTCATACTGTGCCTTTGTTGTCAATGTTGAGACAACAAAAAGGCCTATGGCAGGAGAATATGTTTTGTAGCACAGAAGCCTGGCTTGTAACCATCAGATTTGGGTGTTTGTGTGTAATTAACTGACAAATTTTGAGAAGTAGGAACACAGTGCTTAGTTTTGAGGGAAATGACAATGACAAGGATTCCTTACTTTAAAAGTTATATATAAAACTATAAAAGTAATTAACTGCTTTTGGAGGCTTTGGCGCTACAAGTGTAACAAATTGCTTTTCAAAAATAGCATTCCAAAGTCCTGACAAAGGATGCTGAAGAAACTTAACATTATTAGTGGCCCTGGGGAGTAAAGAAAGCAAGATGAAACTCACACTCTTTTCTCTTTAAACAGGAATTCCCTCCTCAAGCAGGATGAAGTTTATGTTAATGGCATTTTCAACAGTCTGAAAGCAGAGCGGCACTGCTGTTATCTTACCCAACATCCTTCCCACAAATCAAACAGACTGCCTTGAAACACTCCTGTTTTATGACTGGGCTCTGGCACCAGCTCAGCTGTAGAGAGAACTGGCCACATGCCAAGAAGGAAACTGTGTTGTCCAGACAAGCAGCAGATTAAATATAACAAGCGTATTTCCTAGGATGAGATGCACATGCTTTCAACTGGCTTGGTATTATTTTTTTCAAAGAGGTATCAGTCGGCTTTATTGGTGGCCATGGTTTTGCTGTAACTGTGCAGCATAACCTTTCCCAAGGTCTGGGGCATCAGTAGGGGATGAAGGGGATGCAGGATGGACCAGGTGACACCCAAAGGGGTTGGTGGTGACACCATTGTTCCCCAAACATCTGCCTTTGGGGAGAAAGAGGCTGTGATGTTCACCTGTGTGCCTTTAAAACACTTAGCTTGTGTGCCTTTAAAACGCTGGAGCTCAATACAAGAGATGGTGTGAGTGGGGTGAGGCTCAGTGAGAGGGAAAGGAGAGGCCTCAGGTTTTTTTTTTTAAAAAAAATTAAAATGTAATTTTTTTAATTAAAATTTTTATTCTTTTTAAATTTTCTTTTAAAACAACATAACTTACCAAATTTTCGCTTTTCCCACATATTAATACATTTTGGTTGTGTGTATGGGTATAATTTTAATTTTGCTAGTCTTTCATGTCATATTACCATGACATTCAGTGATATATGAGAATTACAATTTATGAGTAACATTAGTACAAAAAACATTACTACTAATGATTCTGTACGATATTGGAGGAAGTTAATGGGGGGCTGACACCATGAGTTACTGCACTCAGTGACGCCAGCCCTAGTGACACCACTGCGTAAGTTGATGCTCCTCAGATGTTTTGGACTATAAATTCAATTATCAGATTATCAGATTGAATATGTAGTCCAAGACATCTGGGGGATGCCATCTTGAGAAAGGTTAGCATACTACCTTCAAAAATCAAGTCCACTTCAATGGATGCATGAGAACATAGACATCATCCATGAAATCTTGTGCCATAAAGAAATGTGTTCAAGGTGCAACCACACTCACACACAAACCTGGTATACAAGTACAGCCTCTGGCATACCATGAACAACAGACACACCTCTCCTGAGGTACAACAAATGTCTGTACAATTCTCTTTCATGTGTTAAAGACAATAAATAAATCCTGTTGTTGTGTGCCTTCAAATCATTTCCAGTTTAAGGTGACCCTGAGGCTAGCCTATCACAGGGTCTTCTGGAGCTGAGATTGTGTGACTTGCCCAAGATATATTTATTATTTTAATGAATAAATTATAAACATATAAATACAGACAATAAAGGTAAATGTACAAATCATGTTTGATACAGAACAAACCCACTTTTGCACACTTTTTGATAGTTAATGATATGAAACCTACCTTTTCTCAGCCAATGTGGTTATAGTACTGGAATCAGCCTTGGAGGATCTATGTTCAAATCCCCATTGACCAATGAAATTCACTCTCAGCTTGACCAAATTCACAGGGTTGTCATGACGATAAAAGTGGAAAGAATGGGGCATGCACTCCATCCTGGGTAGAGCCATTGTGGTGTAGTGGTTTGAGCGTTGGGCTATGACTCTCGAGACCAGGGTTCAAATTCCTGCTTGGGCCATGGAATCCCACTGAGTGACCTTGGGCGGGTCACACACTCTCAGCCCCACAAAAACCTTTGATAGCGTTGCCTTAGGATTGCCATAAGTCAACAATGACTTGAAGGCACACAACTACAGCAAACTCCATCCTGGCTCAATGTAGAATACAAATGTAATTCATAAATAACATAATAAATAGATGAATATGTTTTCCACAATATCTGGCACCCAGGAAAAAGGAAAGTTTTCCAAAAGACAAAATATCCCATCTTTCTTAACTGCCATGGTACACATCCTAGCCATTGTTATTAGACTGCCCTACATTAGCAGAGCCCAGAAAAGCAACTACAGTACTAGTACAATTCCCCCAATACAGCATGGAAAGCAGCTGTGGCCTCTTGGGAACTGTAGTTCAAAAAACTAACTTTCACTAGCATCTATTGGTAAAATAGGACACATGTCCAAATTTTCAGTGAAGCAAGAAGAATACAGGCCCTTGAAAACCCCATCTATAAAACCTTGCTGTTGCCTTACCATATTTTTGAAAAGTGCTGTGACTTCCCTGGTGAAGACAGCCAGATTCAAGAAGCCTGTGGAAAGCTCATGATTGTTCTGAGAAAGGTGGTTATTCCCAAAGTTCTCCAGAGTTTCACTGTATTGTTCTTCATTCTCCACATGTGCTGAGAAATGGAAATTTCAAATTCAGCACATGAACTGTGGCATTTTTTCATATACTTGGTTTCAACCTTCATACCAGTTTTACAGTTACAGCTGGTCCAAGAGAACCAGTATAGAGTAGTGTTTAAAGTGCTAGACATGTAACAGGGAGACCAAATCTCTGCTTAGTCATGAAATACCCCATATGACATCACTGCATCTCAGCAAGCCTGGCTGAAAGTCCCTTTGCTTCTTGCACCAATTACTCTCTATTCTTTCTGCTGCTTCATATCACACCCTTGCAGTGCACCCCATTGCTTCTTACATGCTGCTACTTGCACAGATCACTTCCCCTATACTCCCCTTACATCACTTCACACCCTTGCAATGCTCCTCCCTTGTCTCTTACATTCTACTATTTGCACCACGCACTCTCCTGCTCCCTCCCTCACCTTGAGCCCTTGCAATGCCAATCTCCCTTGCTTTTTATGCACTGCCATTTGTAGTGCTCACTCCTCTTTCCTCCTCCCCCCTCAACCTACTTCACACTCTTTCTTGTTTCTACTGCTCTCCCTCCCTTGTGGTTGAAAAGCAGATGCAGACATATTTCTTACAGTAAATTTCACAGAATAGTGCCTATACATTTTGCTCATACCTTGGCTCCTATTTATTACAAATAAAAGCTTGGAATCAGAGCCAGACGGTGGCTCAAATGGGCACGGGGAGCCATGCCTAGAATCTGGATATAACCTGGCCAGACTAGCAGTATGGCAACCTAACTATATGCCAATAGCTGGTATGATTGGTAGCCACTTATTGCTTTACCCCAGGGGTAGGCAACCTTTCCCTTTTAAGGGCCGAGGGACTTCAGCTCCCAGAATCCCAGGAGCTATTGGCCAACATGGGACTATTGGCCAACATAGCTGAGGCTTCTGGGAACTGAAGTCCCTCTGCCCTTAAAGGGGAAAGGTTGCCTACCCCTGCTTTACCCTTTATTAATTTGTTTCATCCCCCTTTAGCCTGCCTGTCCGCAACAGGTGTCTCCAAGCAGACCTTAAAACAAATCTTCATTTCATTCAGCTTTGTACTGAAGATATCTGATTATTTATTTATTTATTTCTCTTCAATGACTAAGTCATTGTTTTAGCCTCCAAGCTGATAAACATGGTCTACTCTAGAATGAATCTAAAATATACACAAGCAAAGATATTGATGGAACTCTGGTCAATTTTCGGAAGGACAGTGGTTCTTAACCTTTTCTTTACTAGGGACCCCCTTGAAATATCTTTTGATGCCACGCCCCCTCCCCATACACAACTCAATATTTTAAAGCCTAATAGTAGTAGCAATAATAATAATAATAATAATAATACACTGAACTATTAACAATTACACCAAAACCTTTCCTCAGAGGTACTGAAATGGGAGGGGAGACTTTTCTCTTGCTTCTTCTCACCAATTTGTGGCTGGAGCTGATGGAACAACATTGTGCAGGTCCAGCCAGCCAGCCTTTGCCTTGGCTCCTGTCATGTTCCCTCCTCTATCTGAACCTTGGTTCCCTCGTAGTATAACAATGG